GTTCAGTGAGGTTATGTAGGGCTGGGGATTTAGCTCGGCGACATATTTGCCTGCCTGGCAAGTGCGTGGTCGTGAATTCGATCCCTGGTACCAATTAAAAAAAAAAAGAATCACAGTGAGGTTGTGTATGGGACTTGCGTGTGGATGTAATTCATTATCACTGAATACTCAGCACTTGGTATAAGGAAAGCATGTAGTTGGTGCTCATCTGACTACACAGACGGCTGGCTGTGCAGATGTTATAGGCTGTACTAGTAACTGTTGAAGGGACACTCCACTATCTTGTGTTCCTTTGGTGGATCTAAACATTCTATTAGTACATTTCTTTTTTAAAACAGTCCCAGGAGGTTGGTTCAGCTTTTATTCTTTTCTTGCAGATGAGGACCCTGAAGCTTAGAGAGTGAATAATGACAAGCCTGGTTAAGCCCGGGCTTGAACCCACGCCGCCTTGGAGTGCTTGGTGCTCTTAATGGCTGCACTCTCCTCCTCTCTGCTGTTGGAGTTTCCAGGAAGCTGAGTCTGTCAAGGCTCCACAAGTGATGACTTGGGGCAAACACAAGCAGTGGCAGGATGCAGAGAAGCCTGTTTAGGAAACGATTTATCTCCCGTAGACATAGCATGTGAGATGACCTTACCAGAAATAACAGTGACAGTGATAACAGCACCATAGCCTTTTCCCTGGCATCAGAAACCAGCTTTGTAATGAATAAGGAATTTCTCTAGGGAACAGTCCTAGAAAGAAATAAGCAGTTGAGATAAAAATAACAAAATATAAAATAGCCAATTGTTTTCTGTGTTTTCCCTTCCAAACTTGGCCTTGCGTGATTTACTTTGTTCACTTGCCATCTGTAGGTTGTCGCCGTAATTTGACTTGCTTGTTGCTTGGTCTAACGGAAGAGGAGATGACTGTGAGCATTTTCAGAGAGGTGCACCTTGACTTTGACTTCATCATACCTGACAAAAAGGAGAAGGGATTCTTTAGAGCCCACACAGCTTTTGGGGTGGAAGCCTAAGGTTTTTTGGAATGAAGCTGGTGACTGTTGTTTCCCACATGGCCCAGGCTTTAGAATCTGAGCTCTCTGACTTTCAGGTGTGTGTGCTGTCATGGATCATTACAACCTCAGCTGAAGCAGTATTTTCATGCCACAGGTCAGAGTCTTGCAAAATAAACTCTTGTCATAACAAAGATGCAGCATCCAGATTACATCTTAGCATTCCACCACCCTTTACCCTAGAAGGACACTGCTTTTCGTGTCAAGATGGGGAAGAGATTCCATTTTGATACTGATTCTAACTGGGGGTTGACTGGCTCTGGCTCGACCACCCTTGTGTATGGTGATAAATCTTGGTGCCATTGTAGTATGTAAGAGTGAGGTGTGGAAACTCTGCCATGGTCTCTTGGCTCCAATTTTATGCAGATTTGCTTAACAGAATGCAAATGATTTCTCAGTAATACAGGTCCAAGAGACCACAATCTTGTTTTTATCATTGTTCCTGGGCTTTTACCTGCAGCCACATGAGAAGTGGGGAGAGGCTAAAGACAGTGTGGCAGGTTAAAGACAATGGAGCAGATTAAAGACAATTTGGGAAAGAATGGCACAGCCATCAGCACGCACCAGGCCTGAAACTGAGTCAGAAGCACCAGTAGTCTAAGACATAAGTGTTTCGGGAACAGGAGAAGGTCAGCAGAGGCTAATGTTTTTTGTTTGTTTGTTTGTTTGGTTGGTTTTTATGGCTTTTTGAGACAGTTTCTCACTATACAGTTCAGGCTGGCCTTGGACTCACTTTGTAGCCCAGGCTGGCCTTGAACTCACAGTGATCCTCCTGCTTCAACCACCCAAGTGCTGGGATTACAGACATAGGACACCACACCAAGCAGGTCAATGCTTTTTTTTTGTTGTTGTTACCTGGGATTGAACCCACGACCTCCCGCTTGCCAGGCAGGTGCTTATGCGGCTGAGCTAAATCCATGGTCCTTACTGCATTTTTAAAGTCTTTAGTCACTTCTCTTATTTCAAAGAGCTTTTGTGATCACCATATGTTTCCAAATATTTGTTTATCCCTACGCCTACTCCCTACAAGCTAGGCACTAAAAAAGACTAGTATGTGCCACAGCTATGATACTGTTTAAATCTAATTCTGCACTGTCCAACATGATAGACACTGGCTACTACCTGTGACTATTGGGTCTGCAAATGTTGCAGGTCTCAATTGAAATGCGATTGGAGTGTAAAATTTACAGTGGCCTTCAAAGACTTAGTATAAAAAAATGCAAAAATATTTATATGAACATTTTGCATATGTTGGTATCAATAAAATATACTAAAGTGGTCACTAGAAAATCTAAAATTACATATGTGACTCATGTTTCTACCGGACATTTACTGTATGATATAATCATCTTTTTATTTCTATATTTAGATATTATTAGGATAGAAAGACCTTTTCCCCCCACTGAGAGGTGGGTACAGTTTTGATTATTTTATGCCATCTTGTATAACTCTTTTCAAAGTATGTTTTATGGATATTCTTGGCTCCATTGCCTGTAAACTGAGGTAGGAAGGAAAGGTGTAGGGAAGGTCCATACCTTTGTAGGGATGGAGAAGAAGGAGGAAGGGCTTGTCAGCTTCAGAGTTAAAGGTGGGTAGGGAATAAAACTTCAGCTCTATGATGTTTATCCCAATGCATTTTAGAAATATACTAAAACTTATCCGTGGATAAGTATAAAAATCCTTATTTTTATACTAAGGATTATAGGTTACAGTACATTTAGAAGTATTTATGTGTGCATGTATGTGGTTAATATGTACTGATCCAACACATTGATCCAAGGTTGTAGCTCCTACTTAATGTCTAGATACAACTGCTGTTGGATTTTTAGCCTCTCGGGAAAAGGACAGGGTCGGGGTGGCAGGCATATTATCATGACAGAGGCATGTTTTCTTTTCTTAGAAGTTGGTTACTGTCATGTTGAATTCTTGGCAGTGTGAAGCAAGCTCAGAAAGTCCTGAGATTGAATTTTAGTCATCAGTGGGATACAAAGATAAGGCAGGTGTCCTGGGTCAACAAAGCAAGCAATCAGACCCGAGAAGTCACCTAACATGGGATACGGTTTAGGACTAAGGATGGGAGATACAGGGAAAAAGACATTCCAAGGTCAAGACTAGGCATTGGAATTGGCAGGTGAGATCTGTAGAGCAGGGGAGGGCATTCAAGGCAAGGGCCTTGGGTGTGTCTTTCTGGGCCTGGCAGCGGCTTGCGTTTTTCAGCCCATCATATACTTTCTGAGCTTTTCTTTCTTCATCTATGAATAAGGGAGTCAAATTAGTCTCTCACTGTCGTTTTGTGATTCTGTTAGTTTTGAAGGGCTCAGAGTTAGCCAGAATGGCATGAGGAAGCTATCAAAGACAGCAGAGAGGTTTTGTTTTACTACCTCTGTTTTTGCTGTCTAATGCACTCAGAGGGCTGAGATCCATGGTAAAAAGGTAATCGTTGGCTTGGTCTCTCTACCTGGCCTTGACTGAGCACAAGCTGTGTCTAAGATTGCTTTGCTCCTAGAGCCAATATAGGATAAGATCTACACGTATTTATTCCTACTTGTCTGTCTGGGTTCTCTCTGTTCTCTTTATTCTTATATTTTCTTTTATCACACATCTTCAGAGTGTGATATTATGCAGGTAGTTAATTTACCCACATTGCCCGTGTGCATTAGTAAATCACAGCTTGTTCTTTGTCTAGAACTGTTTCCCCTTCCTTATATTTCCTATGAATTAAAAAGCTTCAGGGCTATAGATGAGCAATATAAGAATTTAGCTACTTTTTGTGTTTAAAGAGTACACTTAATTGGTTTTTGTACGTGCAGGGAAACAAAAACCCTTGGATCATGGGGGTAGCTTTGTACTTTGCAGAGAAGTCTCAGGAGCACATTCCCTCACTCAGGGTTCCAGCCACCTCTTCTGCCTCATTATACTTTGCTTAGCACCAGGAAGCCTGGCATGGTTTCTGTTGGAATGAAAAGACTGGCAGAGCTGCCCTAGACAACAGCACCGTAAAACACTGTGGCAGAAGGTTTGGTCTACATACCAAGGCAGCCAAAGTATTAATTGCATTCTCTGTGATCACAAAAAAGGCGCTGAATTATTCTCTTCGTGTTTTAAGAGTGACAGGGTTTTGCTCTGCCAGCTTTAAGCACAATGCATCACATGGAAAGGAAAAGCTAGATTTGAGGGGGAAAAAGGAAAAAAGCATGTAAGTGAAGGTCTCTGGTAGCCGGTTCTTCAAAAAGATCTGAAGGTGAGCAGTTCGGTGATTGGTACCTATAAAAAATCAGATGCAGGGTGAAGAAGGGTTTCCATAAATTTACATAATCAAATTAAATATTTTCCATTTTTGAAATCTTTGAATTTTAAAACGGGGTTTTTCAAGTTGCCTGCTACAATTTGATCCTATTTAATTTTGTGCTGGTGTATGGAAAAAAACTGATTATACTATTTCTGTATGTACTTTTCCTTAGACCCTGAACAAAGGCACACTTGTGAATTTTCCAAATTCCAGAGTCTTCCAGACTCTTTCCTGGGAGCCTGTTGCTCCTCTTCCAGGCACACACCCCTTCACAATCCACACTCACATGTAAATCACTCTGACACATATGCTTGTTCTCATTGGTCAGTCCTTCAATCTCTGCATCTTCAAAGCAAAAAGCAAAACTTCCTAAAGAACTGTTTATTTAACTTGGGTGGGAGAATAGCTAAAACAGGTGTCAGCCTGTGATTTGGGGATTTTCCTATGCTGAACATTGTTATTCTGTGACGCACCCCACCCTCTCTTCACAACCCCAAAAAAGAGAAGTACTAATGCTGCTGATATTCAGGTTTTGAGTATGTTTTGGTTTAAAATGTTCAGTGGATCAGAGAGAATTTTATTCTGGGTAGTGTCGTAGGGATATAGGAGCATTTTGACTTCATGCTATTAAATATCATTCTTCCATTCTTCTGTCTTAGGTTAGGAAGGTATACACTGTCCCTCTGACTCAACCCTGCTGGGCAGAAGTGCTTCATGAGGACTAAGTCCAGCCAAGTGTGAGGTCACCTCAGTGTACGTCTTACACATTGCATGAGGCTGTGAGTTCAGCTGACTTCTCTAAACTGCCCCTATTAGACCACATCCTTCAATCAAAGGGAGGATCCTGTGGTCCCCATGTGTGGAATGAGAGCCTTTGCTAGGATCGCGGATCACCTACAACTGGAGGAAGACTGCCCAGACGTACAAACCTTCCATCTTTTGGCCTGTTTGCCTACTGCATCTAATAGAGAGCACTTAAGCTCCTTTTTCAGTGCTATGTACGAGCAGAAACCTTCTCTGACACTTTCTGCCCCTCCATAGCCCCAGAATCAAGGGACTCTTAAGATATTCCTCAGTATTATACTCACGGCTGAAGAATCATTCATTCAAGCATTTAGGAGAATGGTTCTTTCATTACTTTCTGTTCAAGACTTTCATTTGCTGTTCATTTACTGAGCACCTGGTTGGTATCAGACACTAATCCTTTTCCTTACATATACAGGCTCTGCTCTTTACTTTCAGAATATGAAAGTGCTGTGTATAAAGTCTGAATTATTTATGAACATTCTGCACAATTCAGGACAGTTTTCTAAAAGTATTGTGCTTTGATATTAACTTTATTAGATTACTATTCTTTCATATCTAGGATATGAAACTTAACTTAAATTTATCATAACTTAAATTAATCATAACTTAAATTTATCCTTAAATAGGAGTGTTAGTAAGCGTGAAAAGGGATGTTAGTATTATTACTGACATATTTGGGTAAAATAGGGTAGTCCCAGGCAAGCAGGTACCTGTAGTAATAATGCTAAATATACCAATATTTTTAAGAATTGGGGATGATTGGTGGTTGAGGAAGGGTTATGATAAGTCCAATATTTTTCTGAAAGCCAGTGGGTATTTTGTATGTTTCTATGGCAATTATAAACATACTTGCTAGAGATCAACCCATTAGATCAACTGTAGTTGATCTATTAAGTGGTTGACTAGGTCTCATCTGCACTTGATTCATTGCCACTTGAATGGTTGATCCTTCTTCCTGTGATGAAACTCTGCGAGCTTAGCACTCTACAGAGTGGTGCTAACTTTCTTGGATCCTGAATGAACTTCCTTTCCCTGCATTTCTTTCATTTTCCTGAGCTGTCTTCTAGGCTTTTATTTCTTTGTTTAGGAGTCAAACTAGGAAGAAGAGACATGCTGTGCCTGTTTTCGTAAGGTTGTCTTACACCTTTCTGGGATGAAAAAGACAAGTATCGAACAATTCTTTCAGCGTGTTTCTCCATTTTATACTCATGAATACTGCAGGGCCTTGTTTGATAGTGTGACAAAAATAGTTCCAATTGAACTGAGTAATTCTAAGCAATTTGCTTTAGCTCTCTGTACTCTTTAAAATGTGCTTCTGTAGATTGGGTTATTACGTCTTTATTTAAATTGTAAACTCCTGTAGTATGAGATCTCTTTGTTTAACTTTCTCTGAATAATCTCAAGAGCAGGGCTAGGGATCAGTTGATGTTTGCTGAGAACTGGTTTCCTTTTCTAAGGATGGCCCGCTAAAGAGCCGTATGTGAAGGTAGATGTCCCACTAGGTAATGTTCCCATAAACAATGTATTGTGACTCATCGGTAAGAGTCATAACTTTTTGAAAAATGTTTTGTTTGTTTTGTAACCATAAACTTTAATCTCCCCAGTCAAAAGAATAATCCATTTTGGGAAACAATGTAAAAATTCTTTCAACAAATATGGAAGAATGAAAACCAAGCATGCACATGTTGAGAATTTGATATTGGAATAAAATCAGCTTCTTCTTGTTAAGTAATAACTTTGTGAAAACAGTATCCATTTTTTGCTTTTTTGCACTTTTCAGTCTGCAGCTAAATCAGGCCACAGGAAAAGGATGGTGTACCTTCAAAGAGCTAGTGGGGCTGGCTGTGTTCTTTCTATTCGTGGAAAACAGCTGTGGGTGCCGAGTGTCTAAATTGAGCTTTTGTTCCATGCAAAGGTGGGAAGGTTTGGGTTGAGAAGATCACTCTGCTGTGGAGGAGTTCGCAGATGGCAAGGGACTTTATCTACATCTCAGAGACTTCTGAAATGTGTTGATAATGCCCCGGGAAGGAGCCGAGTGGGATGAAGGTGGGTGTAGGAAACATTCCTCCTACACAGTGCTCCTATCTTCTCTTGTTTTTGTGTCTGTGGTGACTTCAGATTAAATGAATTAGGTTACTCTTTTCCACTGCCTTCCACCAAATAGAAGTACTTATTGAAGCCCTTGGTTATTTTTTTTTCTGCTGAGTGAAGCATGAACTCAGTTTAGGGAAGGGAATCTGTGCATGGCAGGGTTATATTTCCCTCCCGCGCTCATGCTGTCTCCCTCTAGTGCAGTGCAGTTTATCCTCCACCTTGTCATCCAGGATTACTGTTATTACCCTTATTATGAATGAGGTGTTGAGATATTTTCCTTATATCAAGTTTTAAAGCTAGTTTTAGGAATTCTTTTTTGCAATGAAAAATATGGGAGCAAAACTTGTCCTCATTTCGTTTTGATTCCGAGTTAATGGTTTGAAAAGTTTCTGAATAGTGTTTATCCTGACTCATCCTTCCCTCTTCTTTTTTACCTTCTCCATCCTCACAGCTTTAGTGTCCCTTAAATGCAGTTGATTCCCGAATGTATATTTGTACAGCTCTAGTTCTGGTACGTCCTATTTCCTGATGACCCTTTCTATCTGGATTCTTGTTGGCAGATCCAATTAAACATACAATCAAAATATTTAGTTCGGGACTAAACTCATCATCATTCCTCCAAGGTCTTTCTTGAATTTAACTTTCTTGTCATGTTGCTATTATCCTGATCACTGAGGCTCAAAACCTAGGATTTGTCTTTATAACTTCTACTCAGCTCCTAGTATGTGGAGCTACAAGGCCCTGCTGGTCCCCCTGCATACTTTCCTCAAGGTCCTGTTGTCATTCTTTTTCTTTTCTTTTGTACCAGGGATTGAACTCTCAACCTTGAGCCTACCAGGCAAGCGCTTGAGCCACTGAGCTAAGTTCCCAGCCCATTATTCTTCTTAACTGTGGCCTCAGTGAGTTCTTTAACTAACCCCAGTTTCTTTCCTTACTCCAGTTTATCTTATGCTTTCAACAAATCTGATTAAAATTTTTTCATGATTTATAAAAAAAAAAAAAAAAAAGAGACTCCTGTTCCACGAGGGGGTCTTGGTTTGCTCGGGCCCGCTGCTCAGGCTGTTCTCTAGTCTTCCATTTCTGATGGGATCAGCAGCGTTTCCTACTTCTCCACAGCAGTGTGCCTGTTCTTTGAATCCGCCTTGCTGCTCTGCTGTGAGGATCCTTTGCCTGCTGTTTTTACATCCCAGTTAAAACAGCTCTGCTTCCATCCAGATTTTCTAAAATCCACCCCCATCCTTTAAGAGTGTTTCTGGATGAAAGTAAGGGAGTGAACTCACTGGCCTCCAAATTTTTGCCTCCCTGCCAGCCCTTTTATGTCACTTTGCCACATTTGGTCACATGTTCTCTGATACTTCATTGATACATGAATGTTTGCGATAATTCCCTTTCTTCCTTTCTTAGATATAAAAGTATTATGGTTCAGGGTGTGTCTTCTGCATTTGTATATCTAACACCATAACTAAAAGGAATTTAAAAAAAGATTTCATGATCTCATACAAGTGCTCAGTGACATTTGCCAAGTGAATGAATGAACAAAGTACAATAGCTTTGTCATCTTTTACTTGAAGAATGCTTGTTCACTGCTCTTCTACCTTCATACATTTATCTGACAATGTATATTGAGAGCATGTGCCAGGCACTCTCACAGGCATGTGAATTTATCATGTGCAAAACAGAACTCCTGACAGAATACACACAATTTTGGACCTTCCTAAGCCCCATCATTTTCCCAGTCACCCTATCTAGTTCTCAAAGAAACAACAGGCAGTTATTTTAAATGTTTTAGCTTTATATTTTCTTATTCTATGATTAAAGTTTGCTGCCAAGAACATTATGCCTGCTTGGTAGTTTGCAACTTTGAAGTTCTGGTTCATAAAATTGGTTACATATTTACAAATCCTGACCTACAGTGAGGATTGGAAGCATCTTCATGGATTATCTTGAGGAAATCATTGGTTGGCAGCTGGTTCCCTGCCTGACAATGAGAGTTTGAAAACTAAGGAAATGTTTGTTATCCTAGATGATCTCCATCTTTTCTCTTGACATTCTTCTTTTCACCTGAAAATGGACCTGAGTCATAACTCTTTAGTCGATCCCCGGGGGTGTCCTGGGCTGACTTTCAAGGTGGACAAGTCTCTGCCTTCCAGCCTACCTCCTACTGACACTCTGCTTTACTTCCCGCCTCCCATAACACACCAGTCCTACCCCAATCTCATCCTGTTCCAGTGGCTTTCAAATCCTTTGTTGAACCCTCCTTCCTCCTTGTCTTCTTCTGTCAAACTAATTTGTTCTTTACATTCCTTTTTGTGTTTATCTAAAGCCAATAAGTTTGGTATCATAATAATCCATGTATGTCTCTGCCCTCTCATGCAAATGATGCTCAATTCATATTTGATGAAATGAAATTACTTTCTAAGTAATTACAGCAAGTTTGAAAACAGTGAAAGAAACAGAGCTTTTTTTATATCATAGTCACATTTTTATATACAAACAGCATTCTGGCTGTGGGGCAGGTATTACTCTTACGGGTTTCTGGCACTTGTGAATGTGTCAGACATTCTGTTTCCAGACAGCTGTCACACGGTCAGAGTTCCTCAGGTAATATTTTTATGCACACCAGATTATGACACAATGCACAAAGGTCCTGAAGAATTCAGGTCATTGAAAACCTGGCAGGCTACTGGTATAGAAATTAGAGAAAAGGTGACTTGGTTAGAGGTAGAGCACTTGAACACTGCTGCATCCTGCTCTTCCATTATCATCAGATAGTCTGCTTTCAAACTTAAATTGCCAACAGAAGGCTGAAACTCAGAGCCATGCTTGCTAAATTAGGTTAAGTGAGACATACTTCCAGTACCTCCCACATTCATGCCATGATGCATAGCCCAGCCCTGTTCAAACACATATGCCTTGCATGTAAACTTGTGCCACCTTCCCACAACCGTCTCTTCCTGTACATGCTCTGAGGACCAGATGGGCCTGTTTGTGAAATCCAAATTCAAGATTCTGTTCTTGTGTAAGAGCTGCGCCACATGGCTGACATATGTTCAATTTGTGGCTCACATAAGCCTCCTGAACATGTCTCCCACCCCATACCTCACGAGCAATTACCCGTCTTGTATTTGCATATGTTCCTTTATCTCAAGATTGTGGAGAGGCTGCAGTCTGCGGCTGCCTCCTTCTCTAGGTACAGCTCCAATAAAAGCTGTGCATCCTTGAGGAGTTATCAGGAGAATTCCCCAGGCCATTTCTGTCCCCTACAACACAGAGACAGAGGTTAGAGCGGTCTCCAGGACAGAGTCTCCACTGACATTCCTCTTCCACACCTTCTACCTCAAGGGCAAATGATCTTCAGGAGGGAGCAACCATCATTCCTTGCCAGGGAAGCTGAGTACACAGGACTGTTGGATGAGTGAGAAGTTCCTCAATGATCTTTGCTTTTCCATTACAGCTTTCTTCCTCCCCAGTGTGTTATATGAGGCCTACTGTGTCCCTCTTCAGATGTAGATGAGCAGCTGTGAGCAGGAGCCCCAGTTGAAGATCTCTTCCTGGGGATACTCTATTCCCTTGGACAGCAATAAGTTTGAAGCCTTCCATGCCTGGCTCTCATTTGTGTGTGTGTGTGTGTGTGTGTGTGTGTGTGTGTGTGTGTAGTATCAGTATTGGTGGGAGCCTGGTAGGAGCCAGCCTTTGTGGTCTTGTAGGATTCTCACTGTCTGCAAACAGCTGCATATACCTGACCCCAGCCTAGGGAAGGTAGGATTGAGTAAAAATCAGCAGCCCCCTTCCCCATACACTGCAGCCAGAAATGTACTCAGGATGTCTTCCTGCCCTTTTAAAGTAAGATACTCCTCTCTGAAATTGTATGTGTCTCAGCCATGGACTGGAAGTTTCTTCCTTTTTGATTTAAACATTGAAAATGATTAACTTGTTTGAATTTCCCTCTTGCGCTCTGGCAACACTTACGTATTTCTGCATGTGTACTGCTGAGGCCATATGGTGTGCTTGGGTCCAGGGACCTCACACTGAATCATCTGGGAAGCACATTTTGCCAAACCCTTCAAGAAGTCTGTTCACGCTGGGTATAATAGGATCAGTTTAAGGGACCTCACCCTTAGGCCTCCAGGAAAGGGTGGCTGATGGTGTATGTCATCTTGGTCCTGTTTTCATCCTCCTACCTCTGAAGGTCTTCAATAAATTCACTCAGGCAATACTTATAAATTTCAGTAACTACACCACATCTCAAGCCAGTTTAATCAGAATATTTTGGGTGGCAAGGTGGGTAGGAATCGATATTTTTCAAAATTCTCAAAAGCTACCCCTGGTCATTCCTTAAGTGCTCAATGGCATGCATGTTGATTCCCGTTTTAATGACTTGTATTTAGGAGGACAAAAAATAGATTTTGATTGTTATAAAAATTAAGGTTTCTTTGCTGCCACTGAAGAGTCTAAAATCAGATTTTCCATTGGAATAGGAAATAAATGCCAGGTTTATTTTAAAAATGCTCTTGATCTATCTAAAACTAAGAAATGTAATGGATTCTCTAGTAGTTTATTCTCACATCTGAATGTGTCTTGGCTTTTTCTGAAGCAAAACTTTGGTTTGTATACATTACCAAAGGTATCCTGTGACTTAGGAGGAATATAATTGAACTGAAAATTCTGGGGTTGTGCACGAAGGTGACTGAGAAAAAGATGTAACCAGGTCTTCCCTGCACAATGAAAAGTGATTTGGAAATTCAACATGTCACTATAAGCTGTACTTTTCTGTATGATTCTTCTAGGTTGGGATTTGTATCTCAAGGGCAGAGGATTATTTTTGGGTGATTATGGTAAGTGATTATTTGCTTAAGACTTTAAATGAGATGAGCAGATAAAGTACATTTGTACTCAGTTAACCACACAAACATTTTTAGGTTTAAAAAAATAAGCAACTAAATTGGTGGTTTGTTTTATTACCAGACTGATAGAGTTTCACAGGCAGGAAAGAATCTATCTCCCAGACTGGAGAAGGTTAAGTGTTTTTGTCAAGGAAGATTGAAAACTTTAAAAGTTTTACTATTGGTTGAATCTTACTGAAATCAACGATGCATTTGATAGATGGTGACCAAAAGCCCTTAGAGGTGACATACATGGAATGTCTTTAATTCTGAGACATGGGCTTTTTAGGATTCGCAGATGACATATGTTTTGGCATTTGCTGTTTTTGTTGCCATATTTATTGCCTTTAGTTCCTAGTGGGAGTAGTTTTTCTGCTCCTAATTAACCAAGAAAAAATAACTAGCATTTTTTTAAAGGAGAAGGAAAATGTGTCTTGAAAGTTTTGTTAATTGCAAAATGAAGTTAAATGGAGCATTCAATAAAAGTACTTCTCAGAACCGACAAAGAATTTCTCAGAAAGGAGCTATTAAAGCTGGATTCTCTAAAGCAGTGGAAATCCCAGGAACAAAAGCCAAATGCCTGGGAATTGAGTTTCAGAAAATTTTTGAATTGGTACTGTTTAGTAATTTACAAAATGGAGTGGAATCACTGAATGTTCTCAAATCTGTTCATCTAAAATGAGATAATAAATTTAGCTTACATAGACCACATACCTTCAACCGACACTATTGTTACATTTTTTAGTACCATTCTTTAGCATTTTTCCTAAGCCAAGGCCTCTATTTTGACATGTATGATCTCACTTCGGATAATTACAAAGATTCAGTGTCTTTCACAAAAGTCATTAGTAAATTATAGAAGAGTCATAATGCTGATTTTTGGGTGTTTTGAGTAAGTAAAATTTATAATGACATTTGAAATATTATGTAGATGTGTATTAAAGCTAACATTGAAGATAAGATTTCTGTTTCATTAATATGCTTCACTAATTGGCCCTCCATTCAGAAGTGAAAAAAGAAATGAAATCAACTTTCTTTATTACATAAGTCATGAGCTAAACTGGAAGGTTGGACAGATCGTTTTAAATGTTATTGTAGACCACTGTATGCAGATCTGAGTTTTCGAAACTCAGTCAATTCTGATAAACTTCCACAGTAAATTCTGATCCTTTGGTAAGTGAGAGAAATAACTGCTAGCTGGGACTCATGGATTAGAAATAAAACTTAATGACAATCAGAACTGCAGTTTAAACATCATCAAAAGGTGACCTGTGGCTTGACTTTCTTAATTATACCTGTCAAGAACTTGAGATAACAGCCCTGATGGAAATAAATTTTTGATTCAGGTAATATTAATGCCTTTTAGTCAACTATAATCTTTAATTTACCAGATCAGCATTAGGCTTACTTTGGCTCACAAGGGCTGTGCACTATAGTCAAATTAAAAATACAATTCATAGTAAATTTGATAATTAGGTACTGCTTAACTAATGTTAGTCTTTACCATAAGAATATATTTTGAAAGAATGTTTAAGGAAACTGTTAATGAAGCATTGGGTATTACAGTGGTGGGGAAGATGATGAAAGCTACCAGCAGTCAAACAAATTATCGCCTTGCAGTGGGCATGTCTTCTTCCTCGTCTGAACATGCTGTAATCCACTTTTCTGGTTTATGGATGTGACTTTACAATAATGATTGCTACCATTTTAAAAGTGTTTTTAAAACTGTGGTACAATACGTAACATAAAATTTGCCATTCTAAACAGTTTTATATATATATAGTTCAGTGGCATTACATTCACAGCATTGTGAAACCATCACCACAATCCATCTACAGATTTTCTGTGTGTGTTTCTAGACAGAAACAATATCTGTTAAGCAATTCAACACGTAATCCCTCATTCCCCTTGACTTCTAGCAAATACTATTCTACTTTCTGTCACTATGAATTTAGCTACTCTAGTGCTTCATGTAAATGGATCACACTTGTGACTGGTTTATTTTGCTTAGTGTAATGTCTTCAGAGTTTATCCATGTTGTAGCCAGGTCTGGTTATGCAGGCATATAATCCTAGCATTCTGGGAGGCTGAGGCAGGAGGATCACAAATTCAAGCCCAACCTATGAAACTTAGCAACTTAGTGATATCCTGCCTCAAGTAAACAAATAAATAAATGGGAAGACAGAGAATTCTGGAGGTGACTCAGTTCAAAGGCCTGGATTCAGTCCCTAGTATCAACGATAACAAAAAAATTCATCCACTTTGTGGCACGTGTCAGATTTCCTTCCTTAAATTCTGAAGAGTATTCCACTTTATACGGTACTATTTGTTGTTAATTATTCATTCACCTGCGAACACTTGAGTTTCTTCCACCTTTTTGTTTTGTGAATAGCATCTATGAATGGTGTACACAATCTGTTTGAGTCCCTGCTCTCTATTCTTTTTGTTACATACCCAGAACTGGAATTTCTGGATCATATGGTAATGCTATTTTTAATTTTTTGAGGAACCATCATACTGTTTTCCATAGCAGCTGCATCATTTTACATTCCCATCAGAGTACACCAGGGTTTCAGGCTCTTTACTTCCTTAGCAACCCTGTTACTTTGCTTTTTGGTGGGAGCCATCCTAATGGTTGTGAAGTGGTACTTCATGGTGGTTTTGAGTTGCATTTCCTGCTGAGCAGTGATGTTAAGCATCTTTTATGTCCTTATTGGCCATTTGTTTATCTTTTTAGAGAACGATTCATGTTCTCTGCTCATTTAAAATCACCTTATTTTATTATTGTTGTTATTCAAGTCCTTTATATTCTTTGAATATTAAGCCCCCACCAGATATATAATTATCAAATGGTATAATTTCTTGAGCGTTGTGATATATTAGATAATGTATGGTGTATGAAGTGCTTTATGTGAAGAACTATAGTTCATTTATAAGCCTAAGGAATGGATATTTCACAGATGTAGAAGCTGAGACTGTGAGGGTTTAAATGACTCACTCAGGATCATGCAGTTAGTAAATGGCTGAGTAAGGATCGGAATCCTGATACCTCCTACTGCAGAGCCTGTGATGGCATGCAGTTCAGTGTGCAGAGAGTATTCTACTTTCCAGATTTATGACTTGACTTTAGTAAATACTTTTAGATTCATGAGTAATGAATAATGAATATACCATAAGATTATAACTAATAAGTAATCATCTAAGCAGATTATTTTATGTGACTGTAAGCATCAGTCACATAAAAGAAACAGAGCATTTCCAGCTTCCCCAAAATTGTATGTCCCTGGACAGCCTCGTGCCCTTCACCAAAAGGGAAATTTATAGTAACTTTCATGATAATAATTTCTTATTTTTCTTTATGCTTTTGTTCCCTACGAATGTGTCCCCAAATTGTCTAAATCAGTGATGCATATGATTTAACTTTATATGGATTAGATAAGAGTATGTGTATTTTTTGTTTGGTATTTTTGATCACAGTTGAATTTCTGAGATTTAGTGAAGCTACATTTTTGCATTTTCCTTGTTGAATTCTTTCATAAAACTTTACCCACTGTGTGTATCCATTCTTTTGTGTTAACCACCAGATACAATGCTCCTGGGCATGTTACTGTACTATCTGTCCTACTTAATACATGCACTTCTGTTGGTACATGCCAAGTAATGATATTGTTGTAGATGAAATGCCAGACAGTTTTCCAAAGTGGTTGTATTAATTTACATAATCACCAGCAGTGTATGAGAATTGCTGTTTTGCATAGTCTCCAGATTTAAAATTGTTAGTGGCTTTAATTGTAGCCATTCTGTTGTGTTCACAGTAGTATCACATGATGAGTTTAATTTGCATTTTCCTAATTACTACTTATGGATACTAGTAGTGTTTTAATATGTTGTTGGATGTCCTGTTTATGACGTGCCTATTCATGTTTCTTGCCCATTTTTGAACTATGATATCTCTTTCTCTCTCCCTCCCTCTCCACAGTACTGAGCCCTAATACCAGAGCTTCACATATGCTAGGCAAGTACTCCACCATTGAGCTGTACCCCTTTTTAAATTTCATTTTGATACAGGATCTCACTAAATGTGTGCTAGTGGAAATCTGGGAGAAGCACCCTTTGTGTGACATGTAAATTGGCATTAGGTTTGTCATTGAAGCCATTTCCACTGGATTCCCTGAATTGCAGATTGTCCAATATGAATAGTCTCCATCTTCTAAATACCACTGATGACTTCAGTTGTGTGGCTATCAAAGCAGCAGTTACAGGTTTCTAGAATGTCCCTAGAGAAGGCTCTGTACCTAGTGAAACCTACAATAGGAACTGAAAAGCTCCTGCAAAGATTTAGGAATTTGTTTTATGTGAGATGAGAAGCCAGAGGACAGTTAATAGGAAAAAGAGGTGATCTGACTTAGGTTGTAAAGGGATCTGCTGCCTGCTAACGAGATAAAGTGGACACTGAGGTCCCTCAGTGAGAACCCAAGCTCCAAACAGGAATAGTAGAAAATGCAAACTTGAATTCCTTTGCCTGTCTCAAATTTGGACTCACCTAGAAGTCTGTCTGTCTGATGCAGAGGCAGCTAATCACCCTTTAAAGTTTCCTGATGGGGGTGCATCACCACCATCCTTTGGTGGTGTCTTTTGGCTGTGCTCTACACCCTGACAAGTTCACATGCTGGCTGTCACCTCAAGCAGGTTTGAGCCTCTTCCCATCCTTTTTCACTGCCTTCCTGTAATAAGTTAACAGACCCAAGCAAAGTTAGAAGCAGTTAAACTTCACACTTGGATTATATTGCCAGGAGGCCTCTCCCTCTGAGTGCAACCCCTTCCAGCAGGCCAGCACCCCTGTTAGATCTACTGCCATCTGCTCCCGGTTTTGCTTAGTGCCTGCAGGGCCGCTGATGGCAGAAGCATTTCCTGTAACTGGAATCCCCCATGCTTAGCCTTGCAGACAATGGATCAATAACTGGATAAATGCTGAACTGGAAACTCCAAGCAATAAAAAAGAAAAGTACATGTAATGTAGTGTGCATGCTACATTGAAGCTAGGCAAGTTTACATATGAAACTACTTAAGCAAGCCCTTTATTTTTTGACTGTAGTGAAACTCTGAGTCCTGAAGCAACAGTCTCCAAATTTGCTTAAGAAAATAGTCAGGGCTGCCAGCACTCAGGATGCAGAGGCAGGAAAATTGTGAATTGAAGGCTACATAATGAGACTACCAAAGAGGAAAAGGAAGGATTGACAGATAGAAGGAAGGAGGAAAGGAACTCAGAAAGGCAAGATGGGAGGGAGGAAGGAAAGATGGGTCGATCCGTGTTGTATGGTGTTTAACACCAGGATGGAAACACATACTCTGTGTGGCTGTTGTTTTGGAATGAAGAAGGGCATGTCACTTGTGTAACCTGTAACTTGGCATACCTAGTTACATGTGTGGCAGGACAAAAAAGATTTATTACTGTATGTGTGTGCTTTAATTCAGTGCTGCCTTGTTTAACGTGGCCTCAGTAACTCAGTGGTCTTCAGGTAGCACCAAATTTGGTGATCAAAAGTTACTTCCCAATTTTTCCATGTGAAAGGATATCAGAACAAAATAGAGACTAGGTATGCCCTAGTACTTTGTCAGGAGTCACAAAATTATGAAAGGTGGGATCTATGCGTCTTAGGTATGATGAATGTAATAAAAGTACTATATTCTTCTCTAGTAGAGCATAGCTAGATTTAAAATTTTCTGTTAAAAAAGACATATTTATTGATCACAAATGTGTGAATTTATCCAAGTCCCTGAAAGTTTCTTCCTTTGGTAGGAGGTGGGGTAGGAGACAAGATCACTCCAAGCCCCACCCTCAGGGCCTAGATTCAAAAGTGGCAGGTGAAAGACAACTTGTCACCTCATGGTTCTATTTGCTTCAAAAGATAGGGCGGGGCGAGTTCAGAGACTTTTGTGCCCATCAGTGTGGGAAAAATGTTACTTAAAGGTTAACTCTGTTGGTAGGTGGGGCCAAAATAAGTTTACAAAGTCTAGAAAGTCTTACAAACCAGCCTGTGAAACTGTAAGCACATAGGAGCGATTCAGATCTGAGAAAAGAAGGAAAAAAAATCTTTCTTATCTCAAGAGAGATGGGGAATAAGAATCAGATGGGAAATAAGAATGAGGATTGAGGAAGTAGATGTAAAAATGGCTCCTTTGATCTCTGGTTGGAAAAAAGTCTGGAGTTTCCAAAAATAGCTTTTTCCTTCTTTTTTCAGGAATCTCATTTCAAGTAGTGTTAGTTCATTCTTATGTTCTGCTTTTACTATTCGTTTGACCTGGGATGCTTATAAAATCAAGAAACAGGAAGCATCTTGATGAAAAAGGTCTTGGGTCTTCATCTACCATCATCTGCTGAGTCCAGAAATCGATGTACACAACAGCTTTACAAGAGATGAGTCTCAGGCACTGCTCTGGGTTGGCATGGGGTCAGACCTGGGAGACCTAGCCGTGCCTTTGATTGTGAACCATGGATAGTTAGAGCGGGAAGGCAGCATAGAGCCATCTTGTTCAACTTGCTCATTTCGTAGATAAGAAAAATGAGGTCTAAAGATTTAAAAGGAAACGTCAAATTGCACACCAGTACCTGAACTATCAATCAAAGAGATGAAGTACATTTTCTGCAGTTCTGCATTAACTAACACCGGGAGAGTAGAAAAGGCTTGAGGAGTTTTGTTTTTAAGGGCAGACTGTTTTAATTTTTACTTATTTATTTTCATTTTATTTACTTTTAATTGAAAAATAATTATGTCTATCTGTAAGTGAAAAATAATAATTGTGCATACTATATTTGTATGGTACATAGTGATGCTTTAATCTATCTATACATTGTATGTAATGATTGAATCAAGCTAATTTAAACATATCTATCACCTCACCAGCTTTTTTGGTGATGTGAATGCTAAAAATCTATTCAGCAATTTTGAGATATATAACACATTAATCCAACTGTGGTCATCATACAGTGCAATTTACTCATCTAGTCTGAGACTTCGTGCCCTTCTATCAATGCCCCCCCCCCAGTTTGTTGTAATCATCGTGTGTGTGTGTGTGTGTGTGTGTGTGTGTGTGTGTGTGTGTGTGTGTATTTCTGGGGCTGAACTCATACATGCTAAGCATTTGCTCTATCACTGAACTACCTCCCCAGATCTGATAGCTACTTTCATTCCTTTATTTCTATGAGGTCAACTTTTGGATTCCACATATAAGTGAAGTTATACAGTATTTGTTTTTTGTGTCTGGCTTATTTCTCTTAATGTAACATGCTCCAGTTACAATTACATTGTCACACATGACAACGTTTCTTGTTGTATAGTATTCTAATATATATATATATATATATATGTGTGTGTGTGTATATATATATATATATATATATATAGAGAGAGAGAGAGAGAGAGAGAGAGAGAGGGAGAAAGAGAGAGAGAGAGAGAGAGAGTTTCTTTATCCATTTATTTGTGTCCCTTGGATTGCCTCCAGTATCTTGGCTTACTTGGGTTGTTTTCTTCTTGTTGAGTTGTTTGGATTGCTTATGTATTTTGGATATTATCACCTTATCTGATGTATGATTTGCAAATATTTACCATGCCTTTGACCTTAACCACCCCAACTGGTAAGCATAAATTGTAGTTGCTTATTTGCTTTCCTTGACGTCATTGTGAATGGTGCCCTTTTAAAGAAGCCAGGAGAGGTTAGAAGAAAGAGTTGTCTTTTGTGTATTGTATATCTGGATTCTGAGGTTCAATCCTGAGTGGCTTTGGAAGTTCATAGTAGGCTAACACAGGGGAAGACCCAAGTTTTGTTCTGAAAAGTTTGTATGATGCAATTTCCATGTGCATGGGTTGTTTTGTTTTGCTGGGAAATCTGAGAGAAAGCATCCTGACCGGTATTAGCTTGCTCTTCATGTGTCCTTCTTTGCACATTTTGTCTAAAAATTTGCAATTTAAGGATTATCCTTCCATAGAAAATGGACTTAATTTTGATGTATGCCGCATATCACTATGGAAATGTTTCTTTGTTACCAAACCATCTGAAAAGTTTAGAAATTTTACTCTTATTTGAGCTCTGTCTTTCCTATGCTTTTAGTCTAGATTGTAAACAAGCCATAATACAAAGAGATGTACAACAGAAGTTGCCTCAGAAATAGAAATTGAATTTATTTGCAGTGAGATAACATAATTAGTTTTTATATTTAAAAATATCTCCATCCAGAGGAGTCTGCTGTCTCAAATAGAGAATAAAGTTTGAATTCTTGCCAGGTTTGTATAAAATATATACTTACATTTGCTGTGTGTGAACATATATAAACCATATAATACACACATCTTATATCCCTTCTAAATCCACAAATTTAAATACCAGTTCAAATCCACAAATTTAGATTGCACTATTTGTAATTATAATTCTCAACCTTAAATGTTATTGACATAGCCCTCTGTCTTTTTTGAATAGTTATTTAGAGTTCAAAAAATCAAACAAAAACTTTGCAGCTTTTATTATAAAAAGCAAGAACTATATTTGATGATTATGCTAAGATTTAGTTTTGATACAGCTGTTACCATAGAATGTACATTTAAAAGTGCTCTGTGTAGGTAAAATCAAAGACACAAGAATATTAAGTGTCTGTTGATGTTAAATATGTTTACATTTAGCATCCCTTTTCTAATGGCCAGCATTTCAGCCCCAATCTCTGTGGTTCTGAATTGGCAGACACCAGAGCCTGGTTTGGGATTTTGAACAGATTTTTTTCTTCTGGATTGCATCACCACTCTTGGGAGGGCATCTTGCCTGAAATGTGCAGTCTCTTCAGCCTAAGTCACTGGGGACAGACAGAAAGAACGTCTGCCAGCTGTGCTGATGTTTCTTACGTGTGGAGTCCGTTCCTGGTTCCTTGCCAATGGTTTCGTTAGGAAAACTGCAACAGCCTGTGGCATCCTTGTTTCCACAGAGAACAGCCTACAAATGAGAGGAACTTAAAAGCCAGAGGAAACACCCTGTTCCTCCCCACTCTAGTGCGCCTTTTAGCAAAGAAGAGCTGGAAGCCAACCCTTCTCGATATCTGCTCGGTGGATCATAGGAGGCTTTCATCAACTCTGCTGGTATCTTTGCCCCTTTTCTCTACCTCTTGTCATAAATCTTTGTATCAGAGGAAAGAAAAGGGATGGTTGTTAAAGCATAAGCCTGTATGTAGTTCTAGCTCTTGTTACATCTAACTCAGAGGTGGTACCCAAAACCTTTTGTTGAACCTAAATGCTAGATTGGTTTGAATTAACTGAGCCATTCATTGCCTAGTGTTAGGAAATCTTTCTTATCCTAAGGTGGTTGGATGGTGAGTGCATTTGCAGATGCAGAAAGGCTGTGTTTGGAATAGCATTGCCTTGCATGGACTGAATAGAGAAAACGTCAAAACCCCATCACCTAAAACTAGAGAAAGTTGCATAGGTGGGTTCACCTAGAGCCATTTCTATTCAGGTACAATTTTCTTCAGCAGCTTGAAGTTTCCGGTGTCAGATGATGTTTTCTGTCTTGCTCTGTAACACCTCATATGTGTTTTTGCCATCTGTTCATTTCCATTGCTAACTGCTGTCTACACAATGTGACTTGGTGTTAATTAGAACATGTGTCTGTCATTCATCTAAGGAAGGGGTTAATGGTGATTTATGTCCTTTTAATTGGTTTTACTCCAAACTGTTATATTTGATTTATTATTTTATAAGAAGTCAAAGAGACTGGGAAAGAACAAGAGTACCTCACTCTTATTCTTCACAGCTTTAATCATATAATTTTAAGAAATTAAGGCTTAAATGTTTTAGAGTTTAAAAAATACGGTCCTTTGGGTTCTTATTAAAAGATAGTACTTCCATGTGTGAATTTATTGCTTACCAATAAACAATGTATTAGTCACATTTCTTAATTCATGTTATTTTTTGAATAAGTAACATGTCCATAATTTTCAGAGTTCATAAGGTCCCAAAAGGTGTGAAATCTTTTTCTTCTTATTGTCTTCAGACACTTGTTTCCTTTCTCAAAATCTACATTGCCAGTGTCATCTGTGTGTATATGTATTTATACTTATGTATAGACATACATATGCACATGGGTGTATGCATGTGGATGTATACCTATGTTCCCCCTTTTTATGCAGTATAGGAAATATACATTCTGAAGTTATCTTTTAAATACATTTTGAAATTCATTGCATTAGTAAGTTGAGAGCATCTTCTTTCTTTGGTAAAGCTGCCTTGTATCATTCTTCTGTGGCTTACACCCAGTGTCTTGCTGATAGATATTTAGGTTAGTCTCCATTTTTCTTGAAATTGACAGTGATGCAGTGAATTGAAATGGAATTACTGTGACCCAAAGTGGGAAGACCAAAAATAATCACTTTGATTGATTTTGTCAAGTTGCCCTGGAGAGAAGTTAATGGTTATAAGTCCCAGCAGCAGTATCAGCTTTTTTAAAATATTTGAAAATGTTAAGTGAAATAGCTATTTCAGCTTATAGTTTAGTTTTTCCCTTTTATTTTAAGTGATGTTATGATGAATATTTTGAAAGAGAAATTCTTATAGATATGTATATATAATATTATATTTATATATATTTCAAAAATAGAAGCCTAAATGCAAGAGTTTATCAGCATTTTGTCCTCCATTTATTTGGTTTCTAGTAAATTAGCAGACTTCTATATTGCTGTTATTAATAGTGATTCTGCTACAAATTTTGAAAGATATCTAATATTCTCCTTCACATGTTTACTGAAATCTTATTCCAGCTAAAATTATTTTTCAAAAATAATGCTTTCCAAATTAATCTAATCAGGTTTTGATTTATAGGGGTACATTACATGACATCTTTAGAGGCACAATATTTTAAGTCAATTAACTTCTGACATATGTTGCCATTTACTAAAAGTACACACATTCTAGTGAAATCAATTTGACTAACATAATGGGAAAAAAAGCCTGTTGTTTTAGATAAAAATGACCACTTTTTACTTGCTATTATTCTTTGTATGTAGCCTTAGATGAAAATCCCTGTGGCTATTTTTAATGACTGCAGCTTTGCTATCATAACTGAATTCATCTGGTCCCTAACAGAAAGAAGTCATAGGGCCTGTTATTTGCATTATCATATAATCTCTACAAGTGGGAAAAGTACATTGTCCTTTTTCTGGTAGCCCCATCTTTCTGTTTCACATTCTTAAAACATAAGCCTGTCGTTTACATAGCTGATCACTCCATAGCTTATTGCCATTTTCTCTCTCCTGTGAGTCCCCACCTGTGATTTCTTCAGACCAGACAAAGAGATGGATTCTTTGGCAAATATAAAATTTGAAAACTGAGCACATCTGCTGCCTTATAATAGTAGAAATTTCCCTGTGGGATAAATATACTTGACATTGCAGCAACCTTGTGACTAATAACAATGATACCATTTCTGTTACCCAGTTAAGAAATCAATTTCTAAAATGAAATTGCCCTGAATGTCTAATGGTGGTTTTGAATTCTTGAAATCTTCCGCACTTTAATGAAACCAATTACAGTCCCTTCCCAAAACTAAACTTGCAAAACTTTACAGCCAGAAGAAGATTTGGAGATGGACCAGCAGTTAATCCCAGTTTTATAGGTGAGGAAACTGCAGCTGAGAGGCGGTCAGGGTCATTGTGGCAGGGGAGTAAGAAAGCTGGCTCTCTTAAACGCTGGCTCCAGACCCTACTTGCTAAATTGTTCCAGAAATCTTGCTTAAACGTGATTTTTTTTTCTGGAAGAAAATATTACTTCGAAGGTCTCTTTCATAACTGAATCATAAGTGGGAGTTGATTTTGCTTAATACCTTCATTTGTAAAGGAACCACAGAATGCTCCTAGACAACACACTCTAGGCAGAAATACAGCAACTTCTCTCTTTTCAACTGGCAAGATGGAAATTTCTCTTTTGCTGGAAAAAATAAGGTCTTCTTGGAGCTCACAGTGGTATGAAGATGTTCCTACACAATCATAACAAGTTTCTGGTGGATTATATTATATATGAAGAAAGACAAAATTGCCACTGATCAGCTAAAATGGGTCAGAAATGGGTTACTTCATATGAAGTATTCAAAGAAACTTCATATAAGACTGCTATTATATTTTCAGAAGAAAAGGAAGAGGTGGGAAGAGATAGAAGTGGAAGGCAGAGTGGAGGAGGGAAGCAGAACAGGAGAGAGGAAGGAGGAACGAGGCAGGGATCTACTGCACCACAGGACATGCCTGCCTGCTCTAAAGACTCTTGCTTGGACCACATGCTTTAAGTGTTAAAGACTTGTCTGATACCTC